CAGCACGTAGTAGAATTGCTTCAAGCAGCGCGTATCACTTAAAAACAAGGAACCAAGAAATCCATTCGGTTAACTACATGACATCGGGGTGGGCCATTAAAGTTCACTATGTGCACATACGAATAACAAGGTGATATTTTTTGGCTGGCATATAATTTTAGAGTGGTAACCATTTATTAGTGTCAGTGAAGGCGTAGAAAGACAACGAAGTGCGATTGTCGATCTCAAAGCCTGTCCACATATCTATGGAACGTATCGCTCACTAATTGCAGTGGACAGATGGATGAACTTTATTGAGCCCTTCGGAATGTGCTTCAGCACCTTAGAGGCCACTCCCACGTCGGAACAGAAAGACCAAGTCTCTTTGCGGCGTTATGGGCCTCATCAGAGGATATTAACAATGCAAAAAAATTTATGTTAAAATAAACGTCACTAGCGATCGTCGGCCAGTTTAAGTGCCATTTGCTTTGTATAGGTCCCACTGATGCCTTTTGGATAGTAATAGGTCATATTTCTGCGCGTATGGGAGTCTTTCCCGCGTGCATATGTGAGGCGTCATTCTGCATTGTATTCATTCCGATCTCTCTGGGATGAGGTTATTGTACCTTCAAGGTTGCACTCCGTGACTAACACCAACCGTCCATTACTCTTCAAACCTCGAACCACTAAATCTGAAGTTGTCACTGCACAGAAGCTGCGTTTTTGGTTTGAAAAAGATTGTCATTACTTCGTACTATTAAAATCTCGTAGCTTCTTGGTTAAATTAGCAGTAGAAATAACTTCGACGATTTACAAGGTGAAATGCTGATATAATTGTGAGTCACACCACATAAAACAACCCTCCATAGTTTCGATCATAGAGTTTCCTATATATCCGCTTGAGGATAGTGTCTACAGGGGCTGCAACGCACGGCGCTTCAGCGAGCATGGAAATAATTAGTAGTACACGAATTTGTCTAATATTCGTACTTTTGGCTCCATATGAGATCATGTGGCTTGTAGCTGTTCTCTCACGAAACAATAATCAACGAATGTTCCGCGGTTGCGCTTCCCCACCTTAATCTTTTGGGCTTACCATTTCTAATCAGGTCCCAAAGTTCAAAAGCATTTATTCTTTCCTTCAATACAAATCTGAAACAGAGCAACAAATGAAGCCACAAGTGCGATTCGCCGCCCACATGTACGATAGGCAAACCGTGTACTACTTTACTACTTATCATTTACATGGTCGCTGAACGATCGCAGCGCTAGAGTCTCCTGTAGTTAATTTTAAGGATCATTGGTTTCAACCACTCGGGACACCTGAACAAGCACTTCCGTCCAATGGTAATTTATCTATCCCCGTGCCCTCGAGCTTAGCAGGGTGACGCCCCATGCGCTAGGTATCCACAGTTCTTTGGCTGACTTTAACCAATGACAGCATGGAAATGAATGATTTAAATGTTCTGATATAAACGATGGTTTCAAGCCTAGGGGAGCGCTTTCACTCGTAGGTCAAGTTCTTCAAACTCACTCGGACACAGATCGAGCCGAGCGAGTCTGTCGATCTGCCTGAATGTGTCCAGGTGACTAACATTTTGGTGAGTTTGAGTCCCAGAAAAATTTAGCGAGTCTAGGAGTCCGAGTCAGTCCAGTTAAAAACAATATTGGTGAGTCTGAGTCAAAGTGATTACTTTGGAAACTACATTAAAGCAATATCGTTAAATATCTTGTTTTGCAGAAATTCCAGCATCAGCGTCAGCGTCGCCGTCGTTGGTTGTGAGCAAAAAATCAAAATCGAAAAAGATGGAAATAAAGTAAATAAAAAATATTCTGGGTCGAATTAAGGATCCAACCCGGGTAGTTTGCGTGGCAAGCATGTGTTTCATCACGCAGCCACTCGCCTTTTTTTTTCTGTTTGTGAATACAGTGAAAATAACTTCCTTTGCTTGGAAATGCAGTGAAAGTAACTTTCATGCTTTACAAATACACGCGTCTTGTAAACATGCTTCACAATACGCCATGAATTATTGCAGTAGTAATGCGTGGTAGGCGTACACTGTCATTGCACGTCAAAGCACGTTATTATCATAATGACTTCATGGTTCAAAGCCGGTAACCCACTACACAAGGCACTGGCGTTGCTGCACCTATTCCCTTAAGATCACGTGGTGGTTGAATAGCAAGGTCGAAAAGATTTCATGCATCAAGTGGTTGAAGAACGCCTTAGAGACAGCACATTACCATCACGTTCAAATTTTTGAGGTGAAGCTTAAGGATCCTTCAATTTTTTTCTTTTCTGTGTCTTAGTTCCACCTCTTGTTGCCAACATGTGCTCTCAAGTGCCTGCATCTAGCCTACTTGTGACAAGAGAAGGCTGTGCAAAGCAATAAAGGCCTGTGCAGCATAAAAGTCGCTCGTTTGAAGCGCTTCAGCTCTCGGGTCGTTTGTGCTTTACAAATGTGAGCAACTTAGTATCTGACGAAAGAGACACAGACCTGTAGTTCCAGCAATGAAGGGGTGATTGCAAAGGGCTGACTTTATTAGTAATAAACGTTGGCATCGCGTTTTCTTTTGTAGACCCACGCAAGCGTTCACTTCATTGGAGCTCTGAATTGTCACTGAATTTATTCATTACTTGGGCTTAATAGCTCAAAAACCACGACGTAATCATGAGAAACGCCGTAGAAGGCTCTGGAAATTTCAACCAGCTGGGGTTTTCGAAGGGTACCTAAATCAAAGTAAAACAACATGGGCCTGCTAAGCGCTGCGAAGGTATACGGCGGCCATATCATTGTGCAGATGCCAAGCCGCTCGCAGAATGGTGGTATCAGAAAGTGTCACTTCTTTCAGTCTGCGTCTACATTACATCGCTCGCAGGTGAGGCAACTGAACTTTACGCGAACACGGGAAATGAAGCTAAACGGCTTTTTTACATGAGAAAATCAGCTCTCCCAGCAAAACGGAATGCATATCTCATCAACGCCATCACTTTACGTCGGTATTTCGAACAGCTCATCGGCAAGTAGATTATGAGTTCCTTGTGTAAAAAAAAGTATCATCCTGTTCCCAGCATTGCCGCAGTACCCTCGTATTGTGCATACCGGCCGGCCGCATTCAGAAGCTCACACAGACTAAAGGTAAGAAACGAGCGATTGCAAGCTGTAAGTGTGTGATGCGACTGGTTGTATTCGTCCAACCCAGGACAAAATGGCAGATGGTGCTTTGAAATATCGAGTACTGATATAAAGTCAGTAGGACAGATAGTAAGTCAGTAATATGGTGCTTTGTAACATCGGGTACCGATAGTAGTCAGTAAGACAAAATTCTCGCTAGGGACAACATGAGACGCCTTAACCAGCAAGCCGTGATTTATCATCATCATCATCATTTATTGAACCCTAAAGGCCCCTTGCGGGATATTACATAAGGGGGAGGGAACAACACAATTCAACAGATGCATGATTGTCAATGGTACAAAGCATAATCGAAAGTGAACTACATGATAAAAAAACCATGTCAACAGCTAGATGCACTGGTACAGCTAGATGCACTGGTACCGAACGAAGTAAAAGAAGTCAGAGTGAGTAGCCACAAAAACATACTAGCGGTTGATGTCAATCATGCGACTGCGCTTGACAGATTGCGTGAAGGTACGCAACTTAATGGAATGAAAGTCCACTCTCATATACCGCTGGCCAAAGAAGTTAGCACTTCTACTACCAACTCGGTCCTTCTAATCTTGATTAAGCCGGCTTAGAAAGATTCCATCATTGCAAGTATATGTCGTAGCAGAACATCACGATGCATAAGAATTACATTTAAAAATAAATCACTTCCATTACACGTAAAAGTGGGCCGCTTCTGACACGCAGTTTAACCTTTTGTACCGAAACCACTTGAGTGCAGGTAGTGCATGAAGTTAGGTCACGTAAGTGGTGTGTGAATGAACTCTACCGTCTGTTGCCGATTCATTGGGCACGACAACAAAAACACGTGCTAGGCCACAATGCTGAAGTGCTTAAATTGCAATGAGCCGTATGATACCTCTTCGAAGGACTGTCCTTTTATTCGAAGGAAGCTAACAATACTGAAGAAAATGGCCAGAGATGACATCTCACACCAAGAAGCAGCTGCATTCATTATGCGACGATGGTCCCGTCGCCATCTTTGTTCCAAAGCCTCCAATACCTTGTCACTTCGCGAAGCATGTTGAAAACCACCACCTCTCTCTCTCGGGCAAAGCGCTGTCGCTTCTAAGAACAAAGGCGCTTCTGCTAGCAGTGAAGCTGACACTTCATTTTTACAACCCAGTCCGAATGCAGCAGCCTCAAAGGACAGTAGCACCTCTACCAGCAATGCAGGTGACGCTTGGCCCGAAATTCTAAAGATACATGCACCTGATGACAAGCGTCAGACTTCAACAGTGAGGGATACTTCATCGGTAGTGCATAACTCGACGGACGAAAGACAAGTTATCGGCATGGTCAGCACCCTGGTGCACCTGCTTCTGAGGAAGATGCAAACACCGACAGCTCGAAGAGTGTTGCAACTGCTTGACACCATCACTTCCGCTCTCGCAAGCCTTCAGAAGCCTGCTGTTCGAGGACGCAAGTGGCACCATCATGGCTTGACCGCTAGGAAGGCAGGATTTTGGTTCATTAGACCGCGTATACAAGTTAATGCAACTAATGTGTTCATTTCATTAATTCACGGGTGTAACTCCCCCGTCTGTGATGTTAAGAACATAAATGCCGTTTGTCAATGGCATGAGTGACATTTGTCTCCTTCTATCTCTGTAACTTTTATTCCCCTTACCCCTCCCCAGTGCAAGGTAGCCTACCAGGCTTAGCCATAGTTAACCCCTCTGCCTTTTTTTCATCCTTATTCTCCTTCTCTCTCTTTTATATGTAGGTTGCTCCCTTCAAACGCATGTTGTGCTAATGAGCACCGCCATTTATGCATGCAACTGCGCCAATATGCTAAGCTTGCGGATTCAAAATACATCTATTTTTTTTCAGTTCGCAGAACCATCGATACCTCTCAAACTGCATGAACTTGGACTCATTTCTGGTAATTGTCATGTTGATCACATACTTGGAGCAATGCAGTACAACACAATGTGAGTGAAATATTGTTTCTACAAATTTATATGAAGGTGTAAAAAATCAGGTGTCATCGCTGCCTAATGTAAAAAAAAAAACGGCTCCCCGCAAGAGTTCATTGCCTATGGTGGGCCACAATCACATATGCAGAAGAACGTCCCGAAAAAAAAATATATCACACGGAAAGTTTCCGGCCGATTTGGTGTCAAACACATCATCAATAAAGCAGGATAGCGAATATTAGCTATCACTCTCAAACGCACGAACTTCAGTTTTTTGTTCCTTATTTAGATCTCTTTAGGCTTACAAACGAGGTGCACTCTGTGACACGTTTGAATAAATTCTATGCAAATCGTTTTCTTTTTTGATGTGTTCAGTTTATTTCAGTTTATTTCAGCTATTAGTACAGAAAAAGGAACAGTATACAAAGTATGTATACAGGAGGAGGTCCGAAAGCACAAGGCTGCATAGGGACCTCCTGTTCAAAATGGGATTACAAAATTTACTCAATTAGCAGTAGCAGTGAAAACAGAGAGATGAGTAAATTGATAAAACCAACACTAACTAAGAAACAAGTAAAAAGAAGAGTGGAATAAACAATATAACAAGATAAAAACATATAGTAGTTTATCAAGTACGAATACAATTGTTTTTTAAATGTGCCAATAGTCGAGCATTGCTTGATGTGAGATGGCAATGAATTCCATAATGATAATGCTGAGAAATATGCAGTGTGGCGATCAAAATTAGTGCGGATAGTAGGAAGTAGAAAATTTCCATTTGAAGCGAATCTAGTTCGGTTTAAGTTAGACAAAGCATTAGGATAAAAGACGCTTGATGGGACAAGATGGTGCAAGGATTTGAACAGCATGATAATGAGGTGATATTTAAATAAAATAGCAGTAGAAAGTATTTCGAAGTTACGAAGTAATGATGAGGCACTAGAACGATATGAACTGAAAGTCATTAGTCTGATGGCTTGGTTTTGAATGTGCTGAATGGGAGATAAGTGGGTGAGGTATGTATTTCCCCAAGTGGTGATGCAATAATTAATATGGCTGTGAATAAAAGCATAATATAACTTGATTAGAGTTGACATGTTAAAGTAGTAACGTGCTCTGATTAGAATCCTGACACCAAATGCTACTTTTTTGTGCAAATGAATAACATGATTAGAGTATTTTAGGTTGCTTTCGAGAATGATTCCTAAGAAAGAGCATTCATTGTCAGGGTTAATGAGTGAGCCATTTAGTTTAACAGAGACTTGGGAGGGAAGAACTTTGTTAGCTGAGTGGAATATCATGAACTTAGTTTTCTTAGGGTTAATACTGAGGGAATTCATGAGACACCAGCTTAAGATGTTATTTAGATCTTTTTGTAATTTTAGCGTTAAAGAGTCAATTGATTTACCAGTGGCAAGTATTGTAGTGTCATCGGCATAAAAAAAAGGCAGAGAGTTAGTAACTGAGAGGGGAAGGTCATTCGTGTAAATTAAAATTAAAAGCGGGCCAAGAATGAACCCTTGAGGAACACCCTGATTAGTAGTAAGAAAATCTGATAAAATAGAGCGAACATAAACAGCCTGCTGTCTATTACAGAGGTAACTTTTAATGAGTGTAAGGGCAGGTCCAACAATACCAATGGCCGTGAGTTTGGTTTCCAGGATGCTGTGATTAAGTGAGTCGAAAGCTTTGGTTAGGTCAATGAACAATGCTCCAGCTAATTCACCAGAATCAATAGCTTTTTTAATCTTATCAGTGAAAGTTAACAATGCAAGATTAGTCGCCAAAGCAGGTCGAAAACCAAACTGACTAGGAGTTAAAATGGAAAACTTAGACAAGTAATTAGTTATACGTGTCTCAATACACTTTTCTATTATTTTACTAAAAGATGATAGGATAGCTATGGGGCGATAATTATATATGAAAGTTTTCTCGCCTTTTTTCAACACTGGTATTATTTTGGCCTGTTTTAGTTGAGATGGGAATGTACCTGTCTTGAATATTAGATTGATAATGCGGGATAAAGGGACGGCACTATGGTTGGCAATTAGCTTAATGTAGGGCGAGTGAATTCCGACCAGTCCAGGAGAAGTTACTTTAAGATTATGAATAATGCTGATAATTTCGTTAGGGTCTGTTAGAAAGAGGTAGAAAGATTGTGAAGAGCGAACCTGAGATCTATTGGACGATGGGGGTGTACTAGAAGCTTGTTTACAGTAAAATGAGTTGGATTCATGTCAATTGGCTGATCTAAGACACGGTCAGCAATTTGAAGCTCCGTGATAGTTAATTCGGACGTGTTCTTGTTTGAAAGGAGTTAATAATTTTCCATTGTTCTTTAGAGTTGTTGCTAGCACGCGCTATTTTTTCTTCGTAATAACTTTTTCTAGCTGCTTTTAAGAGTCTATTGAGAGTATTAGAATAGAGGGTGTAACGATGTTTTAGATTCATATTGAAAGGACGGCGTTTGACTTTTTTGTAGAGGTTTTCTTTTTAACGCATGCATGCCAATAGACTGTTCGTTATCCAGGGATTATGGGGTGCTGAGTATATTTTTTTACATTTTACTACCGTGACGCTATCATGAATGCATTTGCTTATGCGAGACGAAAGAAAATCAAAAGCTAAGTTGGCATCAGTGCATGTTTCAATGAAAGACCAGTCGACATTTGTTACGCGGTTCACATACTCTTCTTTGTTTAGAATTGATTTAGAAAGTCTTAAATCGCCATTATGCTTGAAGTTTTTTACATGAGAAGAAAACAGGGTAATGGTCAGTAATATTTACTTTAAGAACACCACTGTGTTCAGGTGAAAGAAAGTTAGACAGAACATGGTCAATGAGTGTGCTACTGCGGCCAGGAATGCATCTAGTTAGAAGTGTGATTAAGGACTCGTAACCAAAAGCTTGGTAACAATTTGCATATTCAATGCGATTGGAAGTATCTTCAAGTAAATCAATGTTTAAGTCACCCACAACAACAACATTTTTACGTTCACATGATAATGTTTCAAGAACAGCATAGAGACTTGAAAAGAACTAAGAAATCGATGATGAAGGCGACCGATAGATAGTTCTAATGATAAGTTTACCAGTGGATGAAGGCTTGTCTAGTTCTATCCAAACAGATTCGCAGCTATCGACGACAATATGAAGGTCAGATCTGCGTTTATAGGGCAAAATAGGTGAGATAAAGATGGCTGCGCCACCAAAGCTACTTGATGTGCGATTGCAGTATTCTGACAAGTAACCTTGTAAGCCAAACAAGTTTTGATCCTCTAGTGTAAGCCATGTTTCCGAGATGCAGACGAGGGAAAAAGAACTTTTGAAAGAGTGTAAAAGAGCGTTTATTTCATCATGATTTTTTCTTAGACTACGCGTGTTAATGTGAATTCCTGAAATGGCAGAGTTATTCAAGAAGGAATCTAAGTTATTGATACTAAAATAAGACGACATGATGACGCGCAGAGTTTCCTAGATAGATAAGTGACCAGATCTATCAAAAGATAGAAAGGTCAGCTTCAGTGCGAATCCGATACACCCTACTTTCGTTTGACTGCCTCGCCTTAATATGGCAATTATCCGTCCAAAGCAACGCCCAACCCTTCTCTCTCTTGGGTGAAAGAGCTTTCGCAAACAACCTTATGTTTTCAACGGTGAGATGTTCATTTACATACAGAGGATAATGATGAGGGCCTGGGAATCCGAGATCATTCTTGTACAGTTTGGCCTTGCGAGCCTTGCTTAAAAAGTCTTGCTTCTTATCGCGAGAACAGAAGCGCGCGATAATGTTTTTTTAGTCATTCTTAGTGGAGACGCGATGAATGACGTCGATGTTAGAATAAAAAATAGTGCAGTTGATTTTAGTAGCCACAGCTTTTACTATGGCTGTGCAATCTTCCTCTTCACGGAATTCCCTTTAGTTCTACGTTGTTATGTCTCGAGTATTGTTCCAGTTCTGACACACGGTTTGTTAAAATTTCATTTTGTTTCTTTAGGGACTTATTAGAGGCAACTAACGTGGCGTTCTCGGAGCGTAGCTCCTCAACAAGCGCATTGAGACCACTGACGCCTGACACGAGGCTCTGTACTTCAGCCTTCAACTTTGACGTCTCTGGTATTAGTGCCAGAAGTTTGGGTTTGCATTCTTCAAATTAGTTTAGAGGCTATTTCTCCCAGTTTTATTCTCAGTCCAGGCCTCAAGCTGTTCAATGCGCTTCGCCAACTCGACATTTGAGGGCATGTTTGTAGGCAATCAAAACAATGAGCAAGGTTGTACAGTGCGGTAGTAATTGCAGAAATAAATCACTTACAGCACTAAATCACTCACAGCAGCAGTCACGGCAACGCACGATGCCCAAAACAACAAGAAGGCCATTGACCTCCGGAAGCGCTGGAAAACCTTTAGAATAGATGCCGAATACGTAGAGCCGTAACTGCTGCTGCAAAGTGACGCTGGGTGAGACGGGCCTCCGCTTTATGCCGGAACACGAGCAGGTGATCAGCGCAGTAGATCCACGCAGATGATCCCTTATCCACCAAGGATAGCCGACGCTGATATTCGTGTAGAATGCACGAACACAGATGGCTCAGTCAGGTGGTGAAGCAGGCGTCGAAAAGCTGAAATGGTCGGTAGCACAGGACCACCGAATCCGTGGCAACCGTCGTCCAACAGCACACTTGATTTCTTCGGAATCGTCCAAAAGCCTGCGGAAGCGTTGGAAAACCTTTAGAATAGATGCCCAATACGTAGAGCCGTAACTGCTGCTGCAAAGTGACGCTGGGTGAGACGGGCCTCCGCTTTATGCCGGAACACGAGCAGGTGATCAGCGCAGTAGATCCACGCAGATGATCCCTTATCCACCAAGGATAGCCGACGCTGATATTCGTGTAGAATTCACGAACACAGATGGCTCAGTCAGGTGGTGAAGCAGGCGTCGAAAAGCTGAAATGGTCGGTAGCACAGGACCACCGAATCCGTGGCAACCGTCGTCCAACAGCACACTTGATTTCT